TGTATTCAGGAAACTTCCTAGCTTTGGTTTAGTCCAGTTGTGCTGACTTCCCCTGTAGTGTGTGTTGTCCTTCCCTTCACCTCATTCTTATCTACTATCTGGTTAGTAAATAACCTTCCCCCTCCCTCCCCACCCTCGTAACCATCAAAGAATGTTTTCTTATCTGTTTAAACCTTTTCTTGAGTTCTTATAATAGTGGTCTTATATGATATTTGTCATCCTGTGACTGACCAAATTCACTCAGCATAATGAGTCCCAGCTTCCTCCATGTTATGTTTCATGGCTTCTTTGTTGTTATTGTTGTGTAGTATTCCATTGTGTGGATATACCATAATTTGTTTATCCATTGGTCCGTTGATAGGCACCTACGTTGTTTCCATCTTTTTGCTATTGTGAACAGTGCTGCAATGAACATGGGTGTGCATGTATCTATTCGTGCGGCAGCTCTTATTTCTCTAGGATATATTCCAAGGAGTGGGATAGCTGGATCTTATGGTACTTCTATTTCTAGCTTTTTAAGAAAGCGCCAAATTGATTTCCGAAGTGGCTGTACCATTTTACATTCCCACCAACAGTGTATAAGTGTTCCAGTCTCTCCACAACCTCTCCAGCATCTATTATCTTGTGTTTTTTGGATTAGTGCTAGCCTTGTTGGGGTGAGATGATATCTCATTGTAGTTTTGATCTGCAGTTCTCTAATGGCTAATGATCATGAGCATTTCTTCATGTGTCTGTTAGCCGCCTGAATAACTTCTTTGGCGAAGTGCCTGTTCATATCCTTTGCCCATTTTTAAATTGGGTTGTCTTTTTGTTGTTGAGGTTTTGCAGTATTTTGTAGATTTCAGAGATTAGACGCTGATCAGATTTGTCATTGCCAAAAATTTTTTCCCAGTCTGTAGGTTGTCTTTCGACTCTTTTGAAGTCTTTTGATGAGCAGGGTTTGATTTTTAGGAGCTCCCATTTATCTGGTCTCTCTTCTGGTGCGTGCGCATTGTTACTTATGGTTCATATTGTATTTATGCCATGTATTAGGGCTCCTAGCATTGTCCCTATTTTTTCTTCCATGATCTTTATGGTTTTCAATTTTATATTTAAGTCTTTGATACATTTTGAGTTAGTTTTTGTGCATGGTGTGAGGTATGGGTCTTGTTTTAGTTTTTTGCAGATGGATGTCCAGTTATGCCAGCACTATTTGTTAAAGAGCCTGTCTTTTCCCCAGTTAATGGGCTTTGGGCCTTTGTCAAATATTAGCTGCTCATAGGTGGATGAATTTATGTCTGGATTCTCAATTCTGTTCCACTGGTCTATGAATCTGTTGTTGTACCAATACCAATCTGTTGTGACTACTGTGGCAGTATAATAGATTCTATAATCAGGTAGTGTGAGGCCTCCCACTTTGTTCTTCTTGAATAGTGCTTTATTTGAGGACACTTCCCTTTCCATATGAAGTTGATAATTTGTTTCTCCATCTCATTAAAAAATGCCAGTGGAATTTGGATCGGGATTGCATTGTATCTGTAGATTGCTTTGGGTAGAATTGATATTTTCACTATGTTGAGTCTACCTACCCATGAGCAGGGTATGTTTTTCCACTTATGCAGGTCTCTTTTGGTTTCTTGCAGTAACGTCTTGTAGTTTTCACCGTATAGATCTTTTATGTCTCTGATTAGATTTATTCCCATTTTATCTTCTTGGGGGCTATTGTAAATGGTATTGATTTGTCTACCAAAGTTTTTATAAATTTCCTAATACTGAAACTCCCTTACATTCCTGGTATGAACATCAAAAGGTAATAATCGATCATTTTAAAAAAAGTTTTTATTATAGAAAACTTTAAATAGATGCTAAAGTTGAAGAATACAACAAACCCGTGGGTACCCATTATGTAAATTTAACAACTATCAAATCATAGCCAATTTAATCTAGACACTCATACACTCCCTCTCTCCATCATACTATTTAGAAGTCCCAGATATATGAATTCATGTGATTGTGGAGAGCTGGCAAGTCCACATGTAGGTCAGATGCCAAGCTGGTGATTTCTGCAGGCTTATGTACCAAGATCCATAGGACAGGTGATGGGAAAAGTGAAGAGTTAGGGAGCTCTGCCAATATATCTATTTATAGGCTGGTAGAGGAATACACCCCCGGGAAACTCCCTTTTTGCCCTCACAGCCTTCAATTAATTGGATGAAGTCCATTCCATTCATATTACAAAAGGTAATCTGCTTTACCTAAGGCCAACTGATTTAATTGCATGTGATTACTTCATTAACAGCAACTAGACTAGAGTTTTACCAAATAATTGGGCACCATAGTTAACACATTAAAATTAACCGTTTCAGTGGGTATGTGTCCCTTTAAAGCCACAGAACTTTGATACATATGTAGTTTATCTGAAGTCGTCAGAAAGAGGATTTGCTGCTGATGTTAATTTTATTTTGTTGAGGTTATTCAGTTTGGCTTCTCTGTATCTACTGACTTCCCTTTTTGAGCAAAATGAAGGTGCTTTCTCTAAAGCTTGGATACCAATGGGAGTTATTTTATAGTAATCACCACGCAAGCCAACTGTCAGCACAATGGGGGAAGAGGTTAGTAGAATGTTGTCACTGGTAAAAGGTCTCTAGTCTTTTTCTAGTAGGCATGAACTGGCTGACTGCCTTTCTGGGGGTCCTGTTCACCAACTCTGCAGCTAGTAAGGCTCTTCTGACTTATTTCCTTCCGTTTTACTTTCATTAACCTTTTGTGCATCTATAAAGGCAAAACAGAGAAACTTATAACCTAATAAATGGCAGTGTCTCCATCAAAAAAATAATTTCTTTGATATTTAAACTTTTCTTAAAGTATACAGACAGTAAAAAATCTGTTGAGATTATTTATTTGAAAAATACAGTCAAAATTTCATAAACCAAAAACATAACAATTCTTGAGTTTTAATGTTTAAATGTACAGTTCACAGAAAAAGTAATACCAATGGCTCAAATAAAGATATTCAACCTTATTCTTAAAAGAAACACAAATTGAAACTGCACTGAGATTAAAATACCATCTTTCAACTAAAAGATTAGCAAAGATCAATAAGTTTGATAACACTGTGAAGATTCTTGGGAGTGAAAATTGACATAACCCCTATAGAAAGCAATTTGCTGATATCTATCAAAAATAAAAATGTACAAATCTTTTGATACAGTAATTCCAATTTTAGAATCTAGAAATTCACTCATGTGCAGCATTATTTATAACAGCAAAAGACTGGAAAGAATTAAGAATGTCTGTCAGTAGGAACTCCTCAAATATACTACGGTACATTCACAGAATAAAATCTTATACAGTTGTAAACAAAAAATAATCAAGAAACTTTATGTACTGATATGGGATGATCTCAAAAATATCATGTTAAGAACAAGGTGAAGAACAGTGTGCACTGTAGAGTACTATATATAAAATATCTCTGGAAGAATATCCAAGAAACTGGTAACACTCCAGGAAGGCAGAACTGGGTGCTAAAAGTGGGAAGAAGACTTTTCACGGTGTATCATTTTATATCTTGAATTCTGAACCATGTGATATGTTACATGTTTTGCTGAAAAAGTTTTTTTCTAAAAATTTTGAAATAAAAACTATAATATTCCAATAGAAATATAAGATTCTTTTAGGTATATTCAAATTAGCAAGCATCATATTTCTTTCATCTGATTGATAAACTTTTCCACAATTCCACTGAGTCTTTCAGGCTCCATCAGTTTGTTTACCAGTTCCTGCTCAATTGCCATTAAGGCCATGTCACTACACCTCTCTTGTCCCATAGTATGACATAAATATGTTTTAAGGCGAGGCAGTACAGAAAATGAGCTGTTAGCACTTGCTGAACTAACTGGCCAAGACAAAGCAATATGTAATAGCTGTGAGATGCCAGGAATATTACTGTGAAGACCATGCTGAATAAACAAATAGCCAAGATTTATGAAGTTGACAGAATCATAATCCATGACAAAGTTGAGCTTTGCATAGTGCCGATAAAACCTAAGTTCTGGGATAATATCTGCATCAAGTTTATAAAATTCTTGAACATGTCTGGCTGTTGCTTCATTTAATGGTTCATTCCATTTAAATAATAGTTCTGAAATTTGCTTTATTTTGCAATAATCAAACTCTGAAAAATATAATTTTAAATTCTGCAATATAGTATCCAATCCTTGGTAATAAATATTAATTTTATATTGTTCTTCAGTTGAAGTAGGAAAAAACATACTATCTGAATTGCTATGATCTATTATTTTCTGAATTTTTCTTCTTTTCTGAAGAGATGGTTTTTCAACTTCAAAACCTTTACAAGTTATTTTTTTACATATTTCCTCTGCTCCATCCCAGACAGTTTTGAAACAGACATCATTTCTCTCAGATGATAAACATTCAAAAATTGTTTCTATTTTTGAAGTCAAAGAAAAAATGTCCATGGTTTCACTCTGTAGCTCTTCAGAAAGAATTCCTGTAACACTCAGCACTCGATAAAGAAATTTTATACAAAAGATAAACTCAAATTTGGAAACCAGTGTCAACAAGTTACTCAATTCATCAGTCAAGTTTATGTTTGAAGAATGGCTTGATATAACTTCCAATGTTTCAATAATCTCTGGAAGACCCTCAATCACAGATAGTAATGCACGATCATGGACTGTCCAACATGACTGTGATGAATGTTTCTTGCATGTTTTGTTCTGGCTTAGTTTACAAATGTTTTGAAAATCTGCCAACATTTCCTCAGACGTATGAACAGTATTGAACAAAGTACTGAGAATACTTAGAGTACTTCGGAGTTCTTTTACTTCTTTACAAAACCTAATGACTGCTAAATCCAAAAAATGTGCATAACAATGTATGTATAAAGCTCTTGGCTCTTCCTTCTTGAATTCTGCTGCAATTTTATTAAATTTTCCCCTCAAATTAACGGTACTATCATAGGCCTGGCCACGTATTTTTTTCAAATCAACTCCAATTTGCTCTAGATAAGTTTTGATAATCCCATGTAAGTTGGTCCCAGTTATCCCTTCAGTATCAATAAAACCCAAAAATCTTTCTTTTATTAAGATAGCCTTTGATGTTTTTTGTGGGTATCTTACACAAACTGAAAGCTGTTCTTTAGTGGCACTATCAGTTGTTTCATCACATATTACTGAAAAAGCTGAGGAGACATTGATCTCATTCACAATATCCTGCAACATTTCAGTCTTTATTATTTCAATAATTTCAGTTTGAATTTTTGAACTATTATAGAAGTCAACTTGTGAGTTCATTTGTCGAAATATTCCTTCTCCTTTATCTTTTGCTCTGATTTCTAACAATTCTAAAAAATTGCCTTTATTTATAGATGAAACAGACTGGTCGTTTCCTCTGAAGGGTAAACACTGCTTTCCAAGAAATAAAATATTTTCAATGATAAATTTTAGGTAGTTTTTATTTTCCTCAATTTTTTTTGAATGAATAGACAAATTATCATTTATAGCTTCATCACAAAACTGGTATTCTCTCCAAAATTTCAATGACTTCAAATGCATCTCACTTTTCTCATGCTTTCTGAATTTTTCCAGAGTTTTTTTCCAATTAGAAATTCCTTGGGTTGTAAATGACTCTCCTCCACAGCTTAAAATTTTCTGGCAAAACAACTGGCATGAATAACAGAATGTCACATCTTTTTTAGCACTATGTTCCAAATATGGATTTGAACACCAAGATTTTTTAATACTTTGCGATTTCCCTTTAACTTTTTGCACTTTGGATGTAAATTTTGGATGACATAGTCCATCATCATTTATTTTCATATTGTATGCAGGATCCTGGCTTGACACTTTATCTTTCTGTACTTCCATATCACAGCCAATTGTATGCTGACTGACTACTGATGAAGACGGCAAAAGGCTTGGCTCTTCCACACTACGATTAGCAACATCACTACTTGATTCACTGGGTGAACTCTTAGAAATCTTTGGAAGGAAAGGATAAAATAACACTTAACAGTTTTCAAATAATCAGCTAAATTACTGAACAGATCTAGTAACATAGTAAAATGAATGGGTAAGTTACAGTATGAGCTCCACTAGGGGGCACATTAATTATTTATAACTATTTGCAATCCAGATACAGCATTAAATGTTCAAAGGACTTTTTTAACGTAATTATAGTAGAAATAATTTTTATTGCTTAGGTGACTAGAGATGCTTAACAAGTATGAAAAAAAAAAATAATCGAGAACCTAGAGGAAATATATGACTAATAACACTTCTGTTTAAACATTCTTATTAATAATTTGAAGTCAAACTTGAGATTTGGGAAATTGAACGTGAATAGTAAACAGTATTTTCAGTGCTTATTTACTCTATTTTTTGAGATTTAAGATGAAAATAGGAATGAATATGCTCAGACATACTTATATAATTTGCTTTAAAGAGAAAATAAATGCTGAAGACAATAGCAAAATAAACAGAGACTAAAACTTACATCTGCAATGACATTTCGTGTTACTGGAGAAGCTGTACCTGTTAAATTAATAGAGCATAAATTCAAGATCTTATACTAATCTATAAAATTGCATCATAAACTATAATTGCTTACTACACATTGGGAAACAAAAAGAAAACTAAGAATACAGACAGATTCAAGTAATGCAAAATAGTGTATACATCAAGTATCTTCAAATCAATTCATACCTTGTAAGACATCAGAGTTCACAATGGACAAGTCACTGTGAGGATCTGCCAATGACACTATATTGCTTATAACTGGAGTTGTATCTTTCTTTGGAGAAGGGAGCTCAGTTGAAGCCTCTTGCACCATGGGAACATTTACTGATACAAATAAACAGACGTCTTATAAACCAGGCAGAATCAATCAGCAATATTTTAATAACAAGTGTTTCAAGGAATAGTACAAATATCTAATAGCTTTAGGTATTGCTGGGCTAAGTAATTCTAATTGGAGTAACGTGTATTAGGATTTAAGGATAGCCAGGTTCTTCAGGATATTAACAATGTTAAACTGATAGTTTATACTTCCCCATCATTTTATAGCTTTTTGCACACAATTTCTCAGTCCTTTTATACTGCTTGCTTGAAATTACAAGCAAATTTTTGCTGTGAAATTAGCCATGAAAACCTAAAAAACATTCCTAAACAATCTCCTAATGAGTGTCATTTCTAACTATTCTGGGTTTCATAAACCTCACCATCAATGGAGTTAGGCTGCTGTCCAACCTAGTATTGAAGAGATTTCTGTAATAAGACAGTATACAAACTCTAGGACACCATTCATTCTACAGTCTACATAAATGGCACTTCTGGTACTAGAGGAGGCTCTTGGACGGAATACTTAGTTTGCCCTGGATTATTTGTGCTTCTCTATTAGTGAACTTCAACTAGATCTACTTCTCCTGAACAATATTACCAACAGCCTTGTTTTTACAAAGCAAGGATAAATTTGATATAACATTCTATATTCTAACAGAACAATTAATTATCATAAATATATGGAATTAACTCAATATATATTGACTGAATGCCTCATATGTACCAAATCCTGTGGTAGGTGCTCAGTACATACACTAATATAAACATAAATATATTCATTTACCAAAGGATCCAAATTATCTGAAGACCAAACCAAACCCATTGCTGTTAATTGTGACTAATAGTGACTCCACGTGTTCCAGAGTAGAACTGCTTCATAAGGTTTTCTTGGCTGTTACCTTTAAGGAAGCAGACTGCCAGGCCTTTCTTCCGAGGTGCTTTATGTTACTGCCAACCTTGATGTTAGTAGCCGAGTACAAACTGTGTGCACCACCCAAGGACCTAATCTAAAGACATGTAACACTAAATTTCTTTTTCTTAAATCTTGTCTTAAAATGAAGAGGATTTGTATCAACCTGATACAACAATCATTACAAATAAACATTAAAGTCTCTGGTAGAGATGTAGCCTTCTTTTTACATACAAATATTGGAAAACACGTTTTTTGCAATGAGTTTTGAATTGTTTTACTTTTAAGTCAGCTTTATTTGGAAATGAAACAAGGTTATAAATTAAAGCAAAGCAGTAAATTCTTTAATATTTACTAACCTTCAGTTATTAAACCTGTGACAACTGCTAAACAAACATTACCTGTAGAAGATTCCATCTTCGCTTTACTGTAAGCAGAGAAACAATTAATAGAGCAGAAAAGCTCTGTCTTCCCAAAGTCATTTGTAGTCTCAATAATTTCATCTGAGGGCTTCACTGATTTGAAAATAACAGATGGAAGTACTCTGGCTGGTTTCTGTTTAGAGATTGAAATAATATTCATATTCCTGGTACATGATACATATTGTTAACAAACAAAAATATACCCACTACCACTGCTCTTAGTTAAAATATTACAAACAATGTCGATGAATCCACATTTTTAACACTTTCTTAAAAACCACAGAAAAGGTACTATAGACTGCAATGACTGTAAAATGAAATTGTATTGTCACCTATACAAACAATAACGATACAGGCAAGCAATGAAGAAACTGGTCAGAGAAAATGGTCGCCATCCCAGGCAATCAAAGCCAACTGGATAAATAAACCAAACCAGCTGCTGTTGAGTTGATTCCAACTAATGGTGACCCCAAGTGTGTCAGAGTGGAACTGTGCTCCAGAGTTTTCAATGGATGATTTTTTGGAAGTAGACTGCCAGGCCTTTCCTCTGAGGTATCAGAGTAGTCATGAACCTCTAGCTTTTTGTTTAGCAGTTGATTGTGTTAACATCTGCACCACCCAGGGACTCCCAGATAAATAAAGGTCTTATAATAAGTCACTCCTCAATGCCAGCTTGGGCATCAACTCAGGAAAACCTTCTAATGGTGCTAAGGAGGAGCCAGAAAGGGAGCTTAACACACATGACAAGATATTGTGGGAACACTGCTTTTCTAGGCTAACTTCAACTGGAAGCATATTGTAAGAAAGCAGCATACAAGCAGTAAGAAGTCTAGTTGAGTTTAGTAAGCAGTAAGTGTACAAAGGAAAAGGATACAAACTAAGAGGTTTCCCACCTATTCTAATGAAACAGGAACCATCATTCCTGAATTTAAGAATAAAACATTGATGGTAATGATGGAATAGAACTGCTTTTAGGGGAACAAAGCGCAAAGATAAATGAAAATATCTGTTTGTGAAAGAATAGGACATTGGCAAAAGAACAATGAAACAAACAAAAAAAGGGGTAATTTCGAAAATTTCGCTTTATCCTTTATTAATGCGAATAATTTTTATATTTTGAGAAACCCCTAATAATTCACCAACATTTAACATTAAGCAACAAAAGTAGTATAACTTATAAGTTTACTACTCATATGGGAAAGCTAATAAATATACTGTTAGGGAGATGTGGCCAAAATACTTATAATTATACCAAACAAACTACTTTTTAAAATAAAAGGCCACTCTTTTTTTTAGACTCACAGATTTGAAAACTTTCCTAATTCTCGGTTATAGTTCACTAACAATATGGATTTTTCTCATTATCACTAACACACAATTATCTTACATGCCGGGAAAAGTTATGAGGTGGCGTTTATCATCTGGTATACCTATATCAGCCCTATTCCATCACATATGCTGAATAACTGGTTACTCAATACAGGCTCTTAAAAACAGGACCAAAAAAACCAAAACCAAACCCGTTGCTGTCAAGTCGATTCCGACTCATAGCGACTCCATTTGGTTTCCAAGGCTGTAAGTCTCTACGGAAGCAGACTGCCACATCTTTCTGCCACGGAGCCACTTCAGTTAGCAGTTGATCACTTTAACCACTGCACCACATCATCTTACCAACCCACAATCCCCAATGATGCCAAAATCTATATCCCCACATTTTCCTACAGTAGAACCACTTATAGGCCAACTAATAGAAGGAACAGAATCTTCTATTTTTCATTTCAATCCTATGCAGTCAATTCAAATGGCATAGTTCTCACTTTAAAGATCTTTATTCATACCTGCTTGTACGCTGTAACACTCTTTAACCTATTAAAGTACTGAGACTGTCCTTCCATTTGAAGTATGTGGAATGAACTACAGCTAGTATAGCAATAAATTCCACAGTTCTCACAACAGTTCATGACAAGGTTGTTAGCGGAGTGAAACTTTAAAAAGCAGGTATTACTGCAAAGACTATGTTTCACATTCTGGTATTTTACTTCATACTGAATCTAGGAATTAAAAAAAAAAAAAGTCAGTCAAAAACTGGTATTAAAGCAGAATCATAGGAGTTCCTAAAGATTAAAAAAATGACAACTTACAACAGTAGTCTTCTGACACATGCTGCATTTGGTTAAAATCTTATTATTACTACATATGGTAACAAATGATTTTCTTTTTTCTTCATATGATGAAAGACAAGATTGGCTGCAAAAATTTTTGCTAGAGGTAGTATCTTCCAGCTGAACACTGATCACATCCTTTTGATTTAAAATGTCTCTAAAAATAAATAACAAGGGCACCATTAAACACTTCCATCACAATTATAATTCTTTTCTCTTCCTAAGTTAAATCTCCCCCTCATCATTCCTCTCCCTTGCTGTTCTATGTACCCAACAAACTATAAAATAGTAGTAAGAACACCAGCCTTAGAAAGAGAGAGAACCTAAATCTGGTATCCAGTTCTATCACTTATATTAAGTAACCTTGCATAAGTCATTTATACTCTCGATGTTAATTTCCTCTCTATAAAGCAGGAATTATAAAACACATCTGAAAGTGCTGTTCTGAGGACCACATAACCTGTGTTAAGGAGCCCTGGTGGCAGAGTGGTTAAAGTGTTCAGCTGCTAACCAAAAGGTCAGCAGTTTGAACCTACCAGCCGCTCCTCAGGAGAAAGATGTGGCAGTCTGCTTCTGTAAAGATTTACAGCTTTGGAAACAACCCAATGAGGCAGTTCTACTCTGTTCTATAAGGTCAATGTGAGTCAGAATCAACTTGATGGCAATGGGTTTAACCTGTATTAATTGTTGCTAGTGATAACAGAATAGTGATGAAAAATTACATATATGAATAACCTAAGCAACTTTGGAATCTGTAGGATTCCATGTATAGGACAGATTTCAAAGAACGTCTGCAAACCCTGGAGGTCCCACATATATTCTCAGAGGGTCCAGGAGATCGAAACTATTTTCATAATAATATTAAGATGTTATCTTTTTCACTGTATTGACATTTGAACTGATTGTGCAAACACAATGGTGTGTAAAATTGCCACTCTCAGCACAAATCAAGGCAGTGGCACCAAAATGTACTAGTACTTGTATTATTGACGGCCATGCATTCACAGTAAAAAAAAAAAAAAAAAAAAAAAAATGCCATCTTTTCTTAAGAATGGCCTTAATGAAGTAGTAAAAATTATTAATTTTATTAAATCTTGATCCTTGAGTATACATCTTTTTAATGAACACCTAAGTACAATGGTTGTCTCGTGTAAAAAGCCAATATGGGAATGTTAGTTGTTGCAAACTGAATTAGCTGCTTTTTTCATGGAACGTTTTTACTGGAAAAAAACTAACTTATTCAGAAGTAGGTATATGGCAGATATTTTCTCAAAAATGAACAAAGTGAAAAAGTTACTTCAAGTAAAACAGCTGACACTATTTGTTACCAATGATAAAATTCGAGCTTTTAAGTGAAAATCTGAATTTTGGGAAACTTGTATCTGCCACACTGAGCTTGATGGCTTCCCAAAACTTAAAAGACCTTTCTGATGAGACTGGTGGTGTTATTAACAAATGTGACTTTAAAAATACCACATAATGAAATATGTCAACTTTTGGAAGATCTGCATAACTCAGTGAACCAATATTTTTCAAAGGACCATAGCATGACGTGGCAAAAATCATACGTGAGTAACAGATCTTATTCAAAGCACAAGAGAGGCCAATGGATTTTAATGTACAATGGATTTTAATGTACAAAAAGTTCACTGATATGGTTTCAGATTCCACCTTTCAACTAACCTTTAAGAAACTACTACTTGTCTTTTGATGTAGTACCAAAGAACATCCATAATTATCTGAAAAGTCTATGAAAACACTCCTCTCCCTTTTCCAATTATAGATTTATGAGGCCAGGATTTTCTCCATAGATTTCAACCAAAACAACACGTCACAACAAACAGAACAAGCAGATATGAGAATCCAGCCAGACGCTCATCCAAGAGGTTTGCAAAACTTATAAGACAATGCTACATTTCTCACTAAATTTGTGTTTTGGAAAATACAGTTACTTTTCATTAAAAAATGGTATCTATATTAACATGTAACTGAATTTTTAAAAATTTTTAAATGAGTTAATAATTAAATATTTTTAAAATTTATAACACAGGAGACATTCAAAAACATAACCTACATAAACGAAAGCTATTCAGGGTTTTTAATAATTTTTTAAGAGTGTAAAAGGATCCTGAGACCAGGAAGTTAAACAACTGCTGCTATAGGAAATACCAAGATAGATCTGGCAGAACCCTCAGGATATCCATCTTTCAAGATAAAAGTTTTCTAAATGAAATACTTCTGAAATTAACACTACTTTAACATTTTCAATTTTGAGGGTATTATGAACTTTCAGCCTTCTTCAACAAATGGTACTAAAAATAACACGTTAAATTCATCATCACAACATCAGCTATCTTACTAGTTTAAAATATAGCTCTATCAGTTAGGAATAGGAGGAGGATATGGAATGTGCCCTCCACGCGTCCGTCAGTTTGTCATACTGTGGGGGCTTGAGTGTTACTGTGATGCTAGAACACATGGTGGCTGCAACAATGGGCTCAAGCGTGACAACAATTGCAAAGATGGCGCAGGACTGGGCAGTGTTTCGATCTGTGGTACACGGGGTCGCTATGAGTTGGAACCGACTTGATGGTGCACCTAACAACACGTGCAGCTAATTGCCTCCATGAACAACTGCCTCCTTTGTCATGTGACCACAGAACTGGATGGTGCCTGGCTACCATTACTGAATATTTTGATCAAAGACTCTAGAAGAATCCTGAACAAAAGGGGGAAAATGCAGAACAGAATTTAAAATTTTCATGGACTCCAGACTTTCTAGAGCCATGGAGGTTGGATGAACCCCTGAAACTACTGCCGAGATAACCCTTAAACCTTAAACCAAAAATATCCCCTGAAGTCTTCTTAAAACCAAACTGTAGTTTAGCTTAACTAGTAAAGAATGTCTGCCTTGAGTATTGTGTTCTTTCTAGATCTATCTATATGGGATCAAACTGACAACAGTAACTTGAAAGATAACATAGGAAACTTAGGGGGCAGTGAGTTTATGTTAATACAGGAGGAACAACTAGAAAAGGAGGGTGAGACTGTAGCACAATTCGAAGAATGTAATCTATTTCTCTGAATTGTACATGTGGAAACTCTTAAATTGGTGTATGTTTTGCTGTGTATATTCTCAACAACAACAACAAAATAAATTTAAAAAATATATAGCTTTATCCACAGTGCTTGAGTTGTGCTGTACCTGTACTTCGTTTGAAAAAAACTGTTCTAGAATTCACTCTGTACCAGGCAGCATTAGGCTTTGAGGATATAAAGATGACTATAAACTGGCCTCTAATGTCAAGAGGCATACAGTCTAACGGGGCAATACAAACATTTAAAAAACATTACTATATTATGATTAATGCCTTGGTAAAGCGGGAGGGAGGAATGGTATGGAAGTAGATAAGCGGTAAAGATATTTGGGCAGAATTGTAAGATACAAAGAAACTAGCCAGATAAGAAGCGGGGGTGGGGGAAGAAATACTGCTGTAAGCATGCTAGATTGCTGGCTTCTAATCTACTAAGGTCTTATAAACAAAAAACTAAAAAATCAATCTTCTTAGAAGTACCCAAAATTAGCTTAAGCAAACTTTGAGTACAGGTCTGAACAACTGGCCTACAAATAAACCAAGTGTTAGAGTTTTAGTGGCTGGGCCTATTTTGGCCTCAACTAGACCTGTGTTCGTTCCAATCGGGATACTAAAATTCAGAAATGACACTTCTTGAATACACCTCTCTCAGAAAAAAACCCACCTTTTTAACAACATTTAAAATGTCATCCTCAAGGCAATCTTTCATTTGGCTTATGAAACAGAATGAAAACTTCATTAACCCAAAACAGATTTTAAATCGTTGCTATAAAAGAAACTCCAACAATAATTGAAAATTAACTAAAATCTTGAGAACTAGAGATTAATACCAGAGGCTAATGAATGTGGAATTAAAAAAAAAAAGTTTTGAAAAAAGTACAAGTTACTTTTAACAGTGGATGTTGTCTCACAGCCTAAGTATTACTACCATCCTTTAAGCAACCTATAAAATAGTACTTTTTATCAAAAAGAATTTTATTCCAGAGATAAAACTTGACTTCTATTTTTGTGCCTACAAAAGAGTTTACAAACCAAGTCTTCCCTGCTTCAGCCTTTTTCAATCTGTTTGGGATATGTACAGGGAAAACTCTGAGCATAGCAGTGCAATACCTTAACTTCTCAGGGCCTCAGTTTCCTCCAAACCAAAAGAAAAGGTTTGGACTGCATGATCTCTACAATCCCTTCCAATCTTATGATTCTGCAGAGAGAGAAAGCAGGCTGAAGTAATGAGGGTGCCATACAGCCCATAGCAAAAAAGAGAAAAGACATAGTATAGTATCAAAGGGTTGAGAAAGCAAAAGAGAAAGGTGAGGAGAGTTCAGCAGGGTAAGACTTGAAGCAATGGATAACACCTGAAGCAGCAGCCTAATGAGAAGCTGAAACTCCCCATAAAAAGGGTTTGTGAGTTTGTTAAGAGAATAACAGTGATAGTTAACATTTATTCAGTCCTTATTATTTGCCAATATTGTTCTAGTCACTTAAATATATTATTTAATTCTCATAATTCTTACGAACATTTAACAAAATAGATGGGACTACTAAGAAACAAAGAAGTTTTCAATGCTTCTCAAACTTTAGCATGTACATGAGTTGCCCGAGGATCTCGTTAAAATGCAGATTCTTATTCACCAGGGTGAGACCTGAGATTCTGGATTTCTAACAAGCTCCTAGATGATGCTGATATAGCTGCTCAGGGATCCACACAATGTAACAGCAAGCGGACAAAGCAAGATTCCAATTATGGCAATCAGATTCCTAGACATTATTTTAAAGGAATTCATTATATTTAGAAGGAAAATTTAAGTTTAGCATTACCATTAGCATTCAGTGAGTACTAACAACCCAGAATTATATTACCATAGGACTTTTAAAGCCTATATACATCTCAGGGTAGAAGTAGAAGTTCTGGACATTTTTTCACTATGCCTACTCCTCACTACCTCATTATCTGACATTTCGCGTTTAAGACAATAGTAAAAAATCTACTCTCCAACTATTTTACACATTAATGACGTATGTCAGCCATTAATGAACGCAGAGGTGCGACGCAAGAGTAACACTGGCTGTGACGGTTATGTGTCATCTTGGGTGGGCCATGATTCTCAGTGGCTTCGCATTTATGTAATGATATAATCTGGCAGTTATGTAATGATGTAGTCATCCTCCATTTTGTGATCTGATGTGGTTATTCTCCATTTTCACATAATGCTGATTTCTGCATAATGACCTGGTGTTTGGATCCTAACCATGTTGATAATTCATTATGAACTTAAGTGGAGTCACTACTTCCTTTCTCTGCATCTAAACTACCTTACATATGTAAAAAAGTTAGAAAAAAGACCTGTTACAGAAATCTTTAAAAGAGTATACATACATACATACACGTTTATCTATGACTATTCAATTTTTTAAAGGAATTAAATAACTTCATTTACCATTACAAGAGAAACATATTATTTATACCTTGGAAGTTCCAAAATAAGAGTTAGATGATTAATTTTTGAGTAGCTGTTGCCTATTAGTTGAATGATAAAATAGAATGGACATACATTCATTCCACGTATAGAGAATTTCAACTGAAAAGAACAAGAAATATGTTTTGGAAGTCACATTACGTAAAGTTGAGGAGAAACAGAACTCATCATACGTTAATTTCTGAAAACTTCTCAACTATTAGAAAAGTTTCTTCTGAAGAATCTGTTAGAGGAACTGAAAGCAAAAGCAGCTTCTTTTCACCAAACCAAGGTGACACTTTTTCAGAAAAACGAAAATGTAGAAAATTACATCCAAGACTCTGAACAAGATCTAGGTAGGGAAATAAAAGGGGGCATAATTTAGAATTATATACTTGGAGCAGTTTGAGCAAGTTCTCTTGGGTGGAGCCGGTGAACTGGCAGATGCAATGTATTCAGTGATGCACACTGTGGAGCAAAAAAGCTGAGTAGACCCTTTCCTCTGATAAGCAGTTTGCCCCTTCTGAAGAATTCTTTTACAACCAGAACAGGAAATCTGAATAGCTGTAGTTGAAACTGAAGGAAGCATTTTGTTCATGCCAGATGATGCCAGAGAAAGCTGAATGCCTGTAGTCAACTGTGAAGCTATAAAAACAAAACACAAATGGAAAAATTAGTATTTACATAAAATTAAGTATGCATTCTTTTACTTTCTTTTAGAAGTAATTCATCCGGACATGAAATCCAACACAAACAATGTAATATATCCAACACAAACAATGTAATATTCATTGGGATTCTAAAAAAAGTAGAATATATCAGCCAGAATAAATATGATTAGCTAAAACAATTCTGTTACCACTGTCTGAAAATGTAGTGCTCATTTTCAGGTCGCTCTCCTGAATTTTGGGCTGCTGGGCTTGAAAATATTCCTAAAAAGAGAGTTGAAAACAATGAATACAATGTATTTAAGACAATCAGTCATTCAATAGAAAGTGATAAACTTTGCTCTAATTTGTTTAGTGAATTGAACTGAATGAACCATGGTAAATAGGTAAGCAATTCCGTTTTTGGTGTCCTTGGCTGATAACACCAATCACTACATTATTTTCTCTTGCACACAGATGTGAACTCAGAATCTTTATCAACACAGTCCCTCAGTAGCCACTACCAATAGAGAGAAGAAATGCTCAACAACACCTATTTTCTCTCCTTGTTCTAATCATTAGTAGCTAATTGTGTTCTTAAGGCCTTCAACACACAAATTTTTAGGTTGGGCTGCAGGATCCTTACAAAAGAGGATTTTTCAGAGTAGCAGGCAATCTTATGGCCACCATATCTAAACTTGATCTACATCCTTGAATGACCATGGTTTGAGAAAGTCACAGCTATTTCCTAGATGGATAACATTCCAAGCCATACATTTAGAAGTAGACTGACGACTCACCAACCAATGGGAGTCATACTCTACTTAATACTGATCTACTTTATTTTTAAAACAGAATACTAGAAATAAATTAAAACTAAATTGTCTGATTTATTTTTATTTCATTAAAAATTTCAGCTGGTGTATATACAAATACTCCAACGAAATCTGGCCCTACTACAAAATACTCACAGCCTGAGTCTGCTTATCCTTTATAGGTCCTTTAACATGTGATATGTCTAAAAGAGTTTAATAATATTTAAGTATAAAACTAATTTGGATTAAAAAAAATCATAAAGAAAAGTTTCAATAATTCAAAATGTACTCTTCAAGAAACAGTACTGGGAATATTGGATTTCCACATGCAGAAGAATGAAGCAGGATCCATGCCTCACACCATATACAACAACCAGTTACAAATAGATCAAGGACCTAAATGTGAAAACTAAAACTATAAAATTCTTAAAGAAAATATACAGGCATGGCTGCAGGACCTAGCTTTTTTTTTTTCTTTTTTTAATTGTACTTCAGGTGAAGGCTTACAGAACAAATAGTTTCTCATGAAACAGCAGTACACATATTGTTTTATGACATTGGTTAACAAGCCCACAACATGTCAACCCTCTCCCTTCTTGACCTTTTTTTTTTTGGTGAAAATGTACGTAGCCAAAGATACACCATTTCAAAAATTTCTACAGGCACAGTTCAGTGACATTGACTATGCTCTTCCAGTTGTGCTGCTATTCTCACTTTAGATGAAGGCTTACAGAACAAAATAGTTTCTCATTTAACAGTTAGTACACATGTTGCCCTATGACAATGGTTAATAACCTCACAACACATCAACACTATCCTTACTCAACCTTGGGTTCCCTATCACCAGTTTCCTTGTCCCCTTCTGCCTTCTGACCCTTGTCCCTGGACTGCTGTGACTCATTAGTCCCATTTGGTTTGATGGGGCTGTCCACTCCCAGGCTGAAAGGTGAACCTCGGAGATTACTTCACCACTGAGCTAAAGGGGTGTCTGGGGGCCATACTCTCGGGGTTTCTCCAGTCTCCTTTAGGCCAGTAAATCTGGTCTTTTTTTTTGTGAGTTAGAATTTTGCTCTACATCCTTCTCCAGCTCTGTCCAGAAACCTCTGTTGTGATCCTGGTCAGAGCAGTCAGTGGTGGTAGCTGGGCACTATCTAGCTGTACTGGACTCAGTCTGGTAGAGGCCTTGGTAGCTGTGGACAATTAGTCCTTTGGACTAATCTTTTCCTTGTATTCTGCTCTCTTCATTCTCCTTTGCTCCCGAAGGGATGAGACCAGTGGAGTAGCTTAGATGGCTGCTCACAGGCTTTTAAGACCCCAGACGCTACTCACCAAGGTAGAATGTAGAACATTGTCTTTATAAACTGTGTTATGCCAACTGAGCTAGACAGGACCTAGTTTTTAACAATGGATTATAAAATATGATAACAAAAACATAAACAGTAAAAGACAAAATAGATAAATTGGACCTCATAAAAATCAAAGCCTTTTTGTTCATCAAAGGATTTTATCAAAAAGTGAAAAGATAACATATACATTGGGAGAAAATTTTTGGGAACCATATATCTGAAAAGGGCCTAATATCCAAAATATATATAAAACTTTTACAACTTAACAAAAAGACAAAAAAAAAAAAAAACCATTAAAAAATGGGCAAATGACTTAAACAGACATTTCTCCAAAGAGAATATTCAAATGGCCAACAAGCACCTAAAAAGATGCTCAAAGTCATTAGAGATGCAAACCCAAACCACAATGAAATACCATTTCACTTTTACTATGATGGCTATCTATAGGGTTGCTATGAGTTAGAATCAACTGGATAGACACAACAACAACAGGATGGCTAAGGTAAAAAAAAGAGAAATAACAAATGCTGGCGAGGATGTGGAGAAATTGGAACCCTTATCCACTCCTGGTAGGAATGTAAAATGGTACAGCTGCTGTGGAAAGGTTTGGTGGTTCCTCAAAAAGTTAAACATAGAACTACCACATGACCCAGCTATTCCACTCCTAAGTATATACCCAGGAGACTTGAAAGCAGTGACAAAAACAGACACATGCACACCAATGTTCACTGCAGCACTATTCACAACAGCAAAAAGGTAGAAACAACCTAAATGTTCATCAATAGATGAATGGATAAACAAAATGTAGTACATACACACAATAGAACACCAGGGCTCAGAATAGAATACTATGTAGCCATAAAAAGAAATGAAGTCCTGATATATGCTACCACATGGACGAACCTTGAAAACGTTATGCTGAATGAAATAAATCAATTGTAAAAGGACAAATACTGTACGATCTCACTTATGTGAAATAACAAGAATAGGCAGATGTATAAGAGAACAAAGTTTATTTGGTTAAGTGGTTAGCCAAGTGGTTACCAAGAGCAGGAGGGAAGGGAAAATAAGGAGTCACTATTTAAGAAGCAGTGAGTTTCTGTTTATGGTGATAGGAAATTTGACAACAATTATGGGTGATGGTTGCACAACATGATTAATGTACACCTTCTCCTCACTTATCAACTATCTCGTTATCCAACATTTTGCATTTACGACAATAGTAAAAAATCTACTATCTATTTTGCACATTAACTACATACACTTGGCAGTAACAAATGCTGAAGCGCGAGGCAAGAGTAATGCTGGCTTTGATGGTTAAGGTTATGTGTCAACTTGGCTGGACCATGATTCTCAGTGGTTTGGTGGTTATTTAATGATATAATTTGGCAGTTATGTAATGATGTAATTTGGCAGTTATATAATGATGTAGTCATCCTCCATTTTGTGATCCCATGTGGTCATCCTCCATTTTTGCTTAATGCCAATTTTCACATAACAACCTGGTCTTTGGAATCATGTCAAAAAGTGAGGAGAGTGTGTAACTGCTATCACTGAGTTGTACGCCTGAAAAATGTTAAAAAAAAATTTTTTTTAAATTTACTCTAGTACTTGATAGAGGTAGTACCATAAAACATTACTTGTTTTGTTTCAAGTTAAGAAAAATGAAAACAAAAATATGTTCATCTCAGCTGGTACCACAACATTCTAAGCAATCCTCTACCTCTTCAAAAGCCCAATTTTAAATAGCCCATTCTCTCAAATCCTTTTCTTGCATATATTCATTATGGTACTTAACTCTATATATACTGTATTATTTAATCAACTGCTTTGGGGAAGATAAGGATTTACATATTTTAACCAATAAACTAGCATTTGCATAACTAAAATATACAACTGAATGGTGCTCTAGAACAAAGAAAACGAGACAAAATATTTACTTGATCATTGTCGGGTTCTGTCTTAATTTCATCTAGCTGCCGCAGCTGTGGAGCCATCACCTTGTCACATTCACTATCTAACAGTGGTTCTTTCATTTTAGTATCTGATGCAAAGGAATCCTCCAGTTCCAGATGAATGGGTTTCTTCTGTTTACAGATTCCTAAAACACAATATGAATTGATGTCTGATTTAAAAATTAGTTCTTTTTAAATGTGATAATTGTTCATGAATAACAAGACAGCTCAGCCTCAAGGTTCCTTCAGAGGGCCAACACTGGTTTCCACCATCCATTCCTCCATATATTGTTTTGCTTTCCACTCTTCTGATAGATACCACCTCTATGCTTTCTCCTGGGACAAGTCTTCATTTCTATTCTGCTAGACTTGGCTGCAGGGGGCAGTAATGGTTCAGTGGTAGAATTCTTGCCTTACATGGGTCAGACTCAGTTTGATTCCTGGTCAATGTGTCTCATGTGCAGCCACCATCTGTCTGTCAGTGGAGGCGTGCATGTTGCTATGATGCTGAACAGATTTCACTGGAGCTTCAGACTAAGATGGACTAAGAAGAAAGGCCTGGCAATCTACTTCTGAAAATCAGCAATGAAAACCCTATCAATCACAACAGCCCAATCCAAAACCAGTCATGGGGATGGTACAGGACTGGGCAGTGTTTCATTCTGTTGCACATGGGGTCACTATGAATTGGGGACTGACTTGACAGCAGCTAACAAAGAAACAGGCCTGGCTGCAGCATGACAAAGAACTGTCAGAAGTTCAAGCAGGATTCAGAAGAGGACATGGAATGAGGGATATCACTGCTGATACCAGAGGGATCTTGGCCAAAAGCAGAAAATACCAGAAAGATGTTTACCTGTGTTTTACCATTCTGTTATCCATAAAGTTGTCATGAGTCGGAGCCAACTTGACGGCATCTAACAACAATAACAACCCTGAGGGCACTTTCCAGGACACAGTAGTGGAAAAACAGAGGCCAAGCAGAAGACAGCAGTTTACTAGGCTAAGAAGACAGAGTTAGGAGTTCTGGGATACCAAAGTAGCTGGAACTCAAGCGGCACATTTTAGAAAGGAGGGAATCACAGAGAAAAATGAACCCCAAAATTTGCATACAATTGTCTTTCTCCCCAAGTCACTGGTTGGCTCCAAAACTGCACATCTACAGAATGAGAGACTCCAAAAAACCTAGCAGACCACTCTGACCAGGATCACAATAGAAGTTCTCTGTTACAGTGGGAAAAAAATGTAGAACAAAATACAAATTCATAAAAAAGGCTAGATTTACTGGTCTGAGAAAGACTGGAGGAACCCTCGAGACTATGGCCCTTAGACACCCTTCTAACTTAGAAATGAAGACAATCCTGGAGATCACCTTTCAGCCAAATAATAGACAGGCCTATAAAATAAACAGCAACACCTGTGAGGAAAGTGCTCCTTAGAAAAATCATCTATATGAGACCAAAAGGGCAACATCTGCCTAAAAGCAAAGATGAGGAGGCAGGAAGGGGTAGGAAAACTGGATGAATGGAAATAGGAAACTCAGAGTGGTAATGGGGAGAGTGCTGACACATTGCGGAGATTGTAACCAACGTCACAGAACAATTTGTATATAAACTATTGAACTAATTTCCCTGTAAACCTTCATCTAAATCACACACAAAAAAAGGTATAGTAGAATTTACAACACTTATTTTTGGGGGACACGTGTTAAACTTATCAAATGGCACACTTTAAATATGTGGTATACTGTACATCAATTATACCTGAATAAAGCTGCTTTTTAGAAGTCCTCCAAAAAAAAAAAAAAAAACCTACTAGAAAAGCAGCAGCTGAAAAGCTTAAGAGATTTTAATAACTATGCAGTGCTAAGTAGAGAGAAGTTGAAATATAAGCTCAGCAAAGGTAGAGGGGCCTTGGTAAAGACTTCGACTTTCAGTTGAGACTCCAGGAAGGCCATGTCCTAACAGTAAGAACCATATCCCAGGAGAAAAGACCACTTCCTAGAAGAAAGGGCAAATCCAAACAGACCAGCCCTAATAAAGCCCTGGTGGCACAGCGGTTAAGATCTATGGCTGCTAACCAAAAGGCAGCAGTTCGAATCCACCAGCCACTCCTTGGAAATCCTACAGGACAGTTCTATTCTGCCCTACGGGGGTCGGAATTGACTTGATTGGCAACAGGTTTGGTTTGGTTTTTGAATAAAGCCTAACAGGATTCCCTGGTGGCAGAGCTGTTAAGCACTCAGCTGCTAACCAAAAGGCTAGCAGTTAGAACCTACCCAGAGGCTCCATGGGAAAAGACCTGGTGATCTGCTCCTGTAAAGATTATAGCCTAGAAAGCCCTATGGGGCAGTTCTACTCTGTCACATGGGCTCACCGCGAGTCAAATATTGACTCCACGGCACCTAACAACAACAATAAAGCGTAAAACCAACCCCCTCAACAGGATCAATATAATGTAGTGGTATTATCTGCCTGCCTGTAGAAAACTCCGCCCCCTCTGAAGGAAGATAACATCACCCAGAAGATAACATCTAAAAATTTTTATCCACAATGTCCAGCATCCGATAAAAATTTATAAATCAAAAGTCAAAACAAAACAGAACTGACTGAAAACCAGGAAGAAAAAAAAAAGACAATAGAAATAGACTCAGAGGTGATTCAGATGTAGGTATTATGAAACGAGGATTTTGATATGTTCAAGAAAATTAAAAAATGGAGTTCAGCAGAGACCTAGAATTCATTAAAAAAAAAAAATCAAATGGAAATTTTAGGATTGGAAAATAAAACAGGAGACTTAAGGAATCAATAGATGAATTTAATATCAGATTAGTGAACTAGAAGACAGATTAATATAAAGTCATCTGATGCACAGAGATAAAAGGATGAAAAATACAAGTAAAAATGAAAGAGACATGTGGGACATGGCAAAAAGGTCTAACATACATGTAAACAGAGTCTCAGAATGAGAGAAAAGAGGCAATGGGGCAGAAGCATTTTGTGATGAAATACTGGCTGGACAACTTCCCAAAATTGGAAAAACAAAACACATGAATTCAAACTGTATGAACCCCAAACAAGGCAAGCATAAAGAAGAATACAACCAGGCACATCACAGTAAATGTGCTGAAAACTAAAGATAAAAAAAAAAAAAAAAAATCTTAAAGGAAGCCAGAAGAAATAACACATCAAACACAGAGGGAAACAAAAATAAGAATGAAGCTTATCAGAAGCTTCTTGTCAGAAACAATAGAAGTCAGCAGTCAATAGAATACTTCTAAAGTTCTAGGGTGTGGGGTGCTACTTAGAATTTTATATCCAGTAAAAATATACTTCAAAAACAAAGGTGAAATAAAGACATCAGCGACCCTGTAGGACAGAGAAGAACCACCCCACAGGGTGTCCAAGGAGTGGCTGGTGGATTTGAACTGGTTAGCAGTCATACCTCTTAACCACTGCACCACCAGGGCTCTTAGAATTCTCCATCCAGTAAAAACATCCTTCAAAAACAAAGGTGAAGTAAAGACATTTTCAGATGAATAAAAGCTGTTGAGAATTCATCATTTGTAAACCTATACTACAGAAAGGCTAAAGTGAAATGGTAGATGGAAGTTTGGCATAAAGATTGGAAAGAAAGAAGAAAAAAATTCTATTTGTAGACAACATGATTGTGTATGTAGAAAATCCTAGGGAATTTCTTCTTTTCCTTCTCCTTCCAAAATAACTAGTAGAATAAGTTAATATAACAGGAGCATAGCATAATACAAGGTCAATATTTTTTAAATTTCCACTCTGATCACTTCTCTTCAACATTGTACTAGAGGTTCTAGTCTGGCCAATAAAGCAAGAAAAAGAAACAAAAGATACAAATTTTGAAAAGGAAAAAGTAAAACTGCCATTTTTCATTTTATGCCTGTGCACACAGAAAATTCAAAAGAATCTCCAAATAACTACTGGCATTATTAAGTAAATTTAGCAAGGCCAATTTTCCAAAAAATCAATTTTATTTCTTTGTACTAGAACAATTAGAAAATAAAATTAAAATAACCATTTTCTATAGCACCATAAAAAGCAAATGCTAGGCCTAAATCTAATAAAAGATGTCAAGACCACTACACTAAAAACAAAACATTGCTGAAATTAAAGATCTAAATAAATGGAGAGATATACCATGTTTATTGATTGAGAGACTCAATACTGTTAAGATGTCAATTTTCCCCAAATAGAGCTGAAGATCAAAATCCCGGCGGGGGTTTTTGTGAAACCTGGAAAGTTCTAAAAGGTATACAAATGCAAAGAACCTAGAATAGACAAGATAATCTCAAAGAAGAAAAAATTAGACAATTTAATTTTAAGTTATAGCAATTAAGTCAGCATGGTATGGATATAACAAAATGACTAAAAAAACAGACTCCAGAAAGATATACAGTTAGTAGTTTTTAAACAAAGATATCACTGTAACTCTATGGGTAAAGGCTGATCTTTTCAGTAGATGATGCTAGATCAATTAAATATCTGCATTTGGGGAAGGGGGGAAAAAAAAAAGAGCCTTGGCCCTTACCTCACACCACATAAAAATTAGTTTATGATGGGTCACAGACCTAAATGTGGAAGGTTTATTTAAATAAAGTGTTTATGAAATGTGGTGCAGTGAATTACTTAATACGGCCCTTCTACACAGTCTTTGTAACTCCCACCAAATGACTGAGCGAGGACCATACAAATGAGGTACTTGTGGTCCACCAAGGAGATTGGATTAGCTTGCTAATAATGTAAATAAAATGCACTCCACACTTGTGGGGGTGGCAGCATGCAAACAAGGTGTATGGAACACTAACGAGGGGATTGGTCAGTTTTGCCATCCTGTTAGGCTTAAAAGAGCAGTCAATCCCAGAGCAGAGGGGACTTGACTACCACAAAGAAGAAAAGGCAGGAGCACAGCACATCTATTGGACCTGGGATCCCTGTGCTGAGACCCTCTAGACCCAGGAGACAGAGAGAGCTGTAACACTGAAGACAGCAAGATGGCAAGAAGCAGCAGCAGAGAAATGGTGGCAGCAGAGGCAGCAGAACCAGGAGACCAGCAGGAGACGGTGTGCTGGGCTTCCCCGCCCATGGAGTGGGGAAGCTGAGTGCCTTCAGGCAGG